TACGTTTTTTATTGTAATTTTCGGGAATTTAAAGATCATTTCAGAGGAATAGTTTTTATTCTGTAATTATTTCCTTTCACAGGCAGGAGAATAGAAGCGGATCAAATGAATCCGCTAACTGGAGTGTTTGCAGCGCCGCGGCCATGCGGGATTATTAGACTAAGGAATAAAACAGCATCTTTCAAAGGAGAAAAGCTCCATTTATAATAATTATATTGATAATAATAATAATAATTATTATTATTATTATAATGAGAATCCACATGTTTACAGACAGAACATCAGATTTGATTTGATTAAAAATAATGTGAAGGAAATTATTTTATTCCTGTTTAATGAATGTTTTTTCATGTTGAGCAAATTTTAAAACAAATCTCCTAATTTTTAAAACCTGTGAAAAATGTTAAAAAGCAGAAAATTTTGAGGCTGAATTTTAGAAGCTGTTTTTCATTAATCATGAAGTGAAAGTTCCTACCTGCAGTGAAAGCGGGTCTAATCAGAACATTTAAAGGTCTGCAGACGGTAAACCCTGACAGCTGGAGCTGACCTGTGAGCCGCGCTGATCCAAAGTCTTCAAAGTGAGGATGAAGGTGAGACCGGAGCTTCTCCAAACGGGTCTGCTCGCTCCACCTCGCACGCTCGCTCTCTCTCTCCGCCTAACACACACCCCTCTCCTCCCTCTGCCGCGTCCTCAGGGGCTCAGACGGTCCAGATCCGCTTAGAACCAGAACTAAAACCTGAATTCCTGATGGAAACATGAACCCAGCAGAGATGCTGGTTTTATGGAAGGGGAAGGTTTGAAGTGGCAGAGAAGGTTGGAGGCGCTCCGATCGGCTGCGGATCGGCTGCTTCCAGGGAGGAGCTGAAAGGTTGGCAGCAGTGAGGCACAGCGGTGCAGGCATCATGCTGAGGGGCTTCCTCCCTGTGATAAAACTGAAGATCAATTAAGGTTCTGGTCCCAGAAAGGTCCAACAGAGACCTGCTCAAACAGAACCAGAGCTGGTTCTGATGGACTGTGGTCCAGATTCAACGACCCACCAAGGTTAACCCACTGGGTCGGTCGCCATAGTAACAGACATCAGTCAGTCAGACT